AGTTGTAGTGTACTCAGTCAAAACAGATTTTCATTGGGTGATGTGTGCTTTCTTCAGATCCTTTGCTCAGGCAGCTTTCATTCACAGTGGGAAGCAACCATCATGCATGAAGGAAATAATTCAACCATTTATTTATTGTATCATATTTGACCCCACCAATGTCCAGATTTTTCAGATGTAATGAAAGCTATGTTAACACAGCTTCGTTTGGAGGTTGCCAATCTTTTTTTGCATGATTGCCATATCAAGCACAAAGTTTAAGGATCTAACTAGCACCTTAAATCAGTGTTTTTAAATTTAATGAACAGTTCTTTTAAGGAATTCAAATAGCATCAGCTGAGGGTAGCGGCTGATCATTATTGGGATCACAACAGGCATAGACAGGGAATGTAAACCTTCCTCTGCTGCTGGCTTGACAAAGAACCCTCCTTGGGAGCTGGTATTTGCTCTTGAGCTAAATCCTCAGCTGGCGCCTATGGAGGGTTTCTTTCCAAAGCAAATTCCAGTTGCAAGAGGAGAGATTTTCCTTTGGATCACAGCAGGGGAAGGTTAACTTTCCCCTGCATGAGTGCTGTGATTCTTATCCTCACTGCCAGACTGGCACATTAAATGCAAAACCCCATTTAACTTTGTATCTCGTTTGGTCCCAAGATGGCACCATTGTTGGCCCTAAGATGATGCCACTGCAGTACACACTACAGCAATGGTGGCCGGAAGAGAATGCTCCAAACATTTTTGATCGTTTCTCCTCAAAACCTCTGCCAACATGGTGAATGAGCAGAAATGCTGGGAGTTGAAGTCCAAAATATCTGGAGGTCTGCTTTCTCCCCCCACCCCCGACCCTGGACACACACTAGAGTGTGCTGGTGACATTCTGCCTCTTAGCCCTTCCTGCTTGTTAGCAAGGGTACATGAAGCATGTGGGCAAAAATGCAACACAGAAACTGTCAGCCTGGCTCTGTGCCAACCTCTCCTAACCTGGTGCTTTCCAGATGTGTCAGAGTTAAATTCCCGTTATCTCAGCCAGCATGGCCTATGCTGGTTGGAGAGGATGGCAGTTGTAGTTCAACACAACTGAGGGCACCAAGTTGGGGAAAGTGACCTGTTGCATTGCAAGTTCACAGGCTTTCCTCCTCTTCAAGGTGTGTTACAAACTCCGTGCTATTCATGGCACTTCTGTCACAAGTTTAAGGTTGGCAAGCCCTAATATGCTGTCATTTCTCTATTCTGTTTGAGATAGAAATTGAAAGTGAGGAAGAAACACATGACAAGTTGCATGAAGGCATCAGACCTTCTCACCATGAGTGGCCCAAACCACATTAGGGGATGACAGGTTTCCTCTGTCCCAGAATGCAATTTACAGGAAGATATTAGATCTGTTGCATCTTTCTAGAAATGAATCACTGACCATTGAATGAAAAACAAAGTGTCATGTGTTTGTGTTGAAGAAGTATTTTTATTGGCTAAAATGTGGCTGGAAGCTTTGCTGGCTTTGAAGAGCTTGATATAGATTGTGCTTATTTTTAATGGTTTGTTCAAAATTATGTGTATTCTGTACTTTAAAAATGGCATTTGTGTGCCAGAGCACTCCATAAATGTGCCAATAAAAACAGTATCTTGTAACCTATATAAAGCATGCAAATTTAAGCTCATCTGCATATATATTCTTATTTTGTATATCCCCCTCCACCCTGTTAGTTATGATGTTAACCATCATTACTCATCTTGTAGGAATCTGAACCAGGCAGGCTTCAAGGCACTTAATGGAAGAAACCATCTTATGAAAAGGCTTGTGTTGCTCATGATGCAACAGCATTGGAGTAAGCTACTGTAATTAAGCTGCCTTGGAAGACTGAAATTAAGGAGATGGCTCTTTTCCTTAACACCTGTAACTTATTGCAAATGTATCTAAGCTAAAAATATGCCAAGAACATTTTCTCATGTGTAGGATTATTTAATTGTTGCTGGGACAAGAAAACAGCACGTGGGCCAGTGATTCGCCACACTCCACTGTTCATGTTCCTTAAGGGGAGGGGGAACTGTAACAGGAGATGAGCCAAGGTGTTTCAGAGCTTATAAGGGAGCTGATAAGCCAACAGAGATCCAGATGAGACCATGAGGCTCATATTTGCATAGTCATTTGTGTCACTGTTTACAGTCAGATTGACTTGCTCCATTGGAGTGGGCTTCTGGTAGCCAACTAGGCACTCTGTTCGTGACTTTGAGCTTAGCACACAATCCACTGCTGCTCTTCAGCTCTGGGGAGTGAGGGGGGAGAATTAGGAATCCAGGTAGGGTGTGAGATGGGTTCAAAGATGTGCTTCGGGGGCATCTTTGAGATGAAGCTCTTCTGACTTCCTTTGGGCCACTGCAGGTTCCTCCTGACTCTCAAATGGGAGGATTCTCATTGGAGTCTCAGGTCTTTTCCTCTGAAGAGATTTGTCCAGGATAGACATTGGATGAGATCCTTACACTTGACGCTTCCCCACCATGAAGAGGCAGAAGTCTGCGGAATTAGACTAGCAGAATGTTTATTTATTTATTTATTTTATAGCATTTTTATGCCGCCCCCATCGCAGAAAGCCTCGGGGCGGCTTACAAAGAATATAAACAACATAGAATAACATTAAAAATTCAGAGCATCTCAGCAATAGTTTAAAACCAATAAATGAAAACAACAATTAACAATTAAAATATCGTTTACATAAAAAAAAAATAATGATGGCGCCAGGCAGACCTCTCTGGGGAGTGCATTCCATAGGTGGGGTGCCACCACAGAGAAGGCCCTCCTCCAAGTACTCACCCTCCTATTATCCTTCACAGAGGGCTCCTGGAGAAGGGCCTCCTTCGCCGATCTCAGGGGGCGGGAGGGCACACATGGACACAAGCGCTCCTTTAGATAACCAGGTCCCAAGCCATTGGGGGCTTTATAGGTGATAACCAACACCTTGAATTGGGCCCGGACTTCAATGGGAAGCCAGTGAAGCTGACGGAGAACTGGGGTTATATGAGAACAACGCCCAGTCCCCGTCAGCAGCCTGGCAACTCTATTTTGCACCAATTGAAGTATTTGGACCGTCTTCAAGGGCAGCCCCACGTAGAGCGCGTTACAGAAGTCTAATTGGGAAGTTACCAATGCATGTGTCACTGTTGCCAGGCAGTCATTATCCAGGTAGGGACGCAGCTGATGGATCAGCTGAAGCTGAAGGAAGGCACTCCTCGCCACCGCTGTCACCTGAGCTTCTAATGACAGCTCTGGGTCGAGGAGCACTCCCAAGCTGCGAATCCTGTCCTTAAGAGGGAGTGCAACCCCATTCAGGACAAGGTCCAGGTCCCCCATCCCAAAGCCCGACCCACTACCAACAGGACCTCCATCTTGTCTGGATTGAGCCTCAGTTTATTGGCCCTCATCCAGCCCATTACCTTGGCCAGGCACCGGTTCAGTACAGCCACCACCTCACCTGGATTAGTTGAGAATGAGAGGTAGACCTGGGTATCATCAGCATACTGATGATTCCACAGCCCACACCTCCTAATGACCTCTCCCAGCTGTTTCATTTAGATGTTGAATAGCAAGGGGGACAAAATGGACCCCTGCGGTACTCCATGGCATAGCTGCCATGGTGCAGAGCCATAGTCCCCCAGCACCACCTTCTGGAATCGGCCATTGAGATAGGAGCGGAACCACTGCAAAGCAGTGCCTCTGACCCCCAATCCCGCTAGCCTATCCAGAAGGATACCATGGTCGATGGTATCGAAAGCGGCTGAGAGGTCCAGGAGAACCAACAGGGATGCACTCCCCCTGTCTCTCTCCTTGCACAGGTCATCATACAGGGCGACCAGGGCAGATTCAGTACCATACCCGGGTCTGAAGCCGGACTGAAATGGGTCCAGATAATTAGTTTCATCCAAGAGTGCTTGGAGTTGTCCCGCCACCACCCGCTCTAACACCTTGCCCAGAAACGGGATGTTGGCCACAGGTCTATAATTGGCGGCCACCTCTGGATCCAGGGATGCCTTCTTTAGGACGGCCGGGTACC